TTATAAAGCCCAATATCACAAATCACAATTTGCCTCACGGGGCTTTACAGCATACAACATGCCTCTGTCCTTATGACCCTCGCAGCGGATAAGGAAAAACTCCCCAAAAAAAAACCTTTAACAGGGAAAAAAAAAGGTAGAAACCTCAGGAGGAGCAACTGAGGAGGGATCCCTCTTCCAGGACGGACAGACGTGCAATAGATGTCGTACAGAACAGATCAGCATAATAAATTAACAGTAATCCGCATGACACAATGAGACAGAGAGAGAGAGAGAGAGAGAGACACAGAGAGAGAGAGAGACGCAGGTAATAACAGTAGCTTACAACAACATTATTGAAAGTAATAATATTATAGTTATAGTTCTGGCTACTGTGGTACAATATGTTGAAAGTATGTATTAATATCTGGCAGTATACATGTGTGACAATAGTCATATGTGTATAATAACAGTAGAAGTATGACTAATGACTAATGATGGCAGCAGCAGCAGGAGGCATCTGGCAGGACCACGGCAGCAGCACAACCACACACGTCACGCTGTCCAGGCACCGCTGCGATATGAGTTAATCTGAGAGACAGTGGAGCACAAAGGCTCCGGAGAAGAAGCCGAGTTAATGACATCCAGAATGGCCGAGTTAGCAAGATGCAGTAATAGGATACGAGAGAGAGAGAGAGAGAGAGAGAGAGAGAGAGAGAGAAGGAGAGAAGGTGCCCGGTGGAGTGGGTTGGGAAATACTTCCTTTGGGTGCTGGAGCGTACTCTGGCACAGACTGGGCTTAACTGTTCGTTAATTTGTGTAGAAATATAACATTCTGTTTCTTCGAACAACAGGGCTCTCACTTTCATGTAGAGCGACAGATCGGATTTACCAACCCACCCCTTGTTTATGACATAGGTAGTTATGAATACAAACTAGTGAATTAGGAGCACTCAGAACATTTCCACTTAAAAGGTTGTGAATTGTGAGGGGGGTCCATATGGAGCCTTAACGCGTGAACACAGTAAACATGACCCCATTTGAGTGCAGCACTAGCCCAGGTCCAGCTAGCTCTTATATACCCACTGTGTCTCAAATCACATACCTCCATAAGCACACGTCAGTGTAGTACACTATGTACGCGTGTGGCGCACTAATTTCAACAAGGAAGTGTTGTCTCAAGACGCACACTGCCGTTTTGCACTTACCAGAAGTGACCATGGCTTTTTTTTCAACTGCCTCTTCTTCTTCTTCTTCTTCTGTGTCCTCATGAGGACGCTGCAGTTTAAGCTGCAGCTTAAGCGGCAAATTGCAAACGGCATTATTACATTTGACTATAGCCAAACTTACACCACAACATCAGTGTTGATTAAAATGTGTTGCTTTAGCTAAGAGCAAGTTCGCTAGCTAGCGAAAGCTAACCTTGGCTAGCAAGCTAGTGTACCACATTATTACAGACCCAACAAACATTACTGTGGCTTTTATTCGTCAACACTTTTGGTACCTACTGGGAAAAAAAATTATAACAGGGCTGTTTTGCACTTACTGGTGATCATGGCTTTTCTTTTTCTTTCCTTTTTACTGCCTCTTCTTCCTCATCTTGTTTTTAAATGGCAAATAGCAAACAGACGATGGAGCATTATCGCCAACATTTGACTACTTTTCCTGTCGACACAGAAATCAAATTTAGGCCACAACGTCAGTGCTGATTAAAATGAGCCATCGTAGTTAGGAGCAAGTTAGCGGACCAGCAAATACCAACGTTAGCCAGTAAGCTAATTGCAAGCTCAATGTTCACAGTCATCACAGACCCAACAAACATCACCAGCAGCTTCTTTTCGACAAGAGTGTTGGTACTTGGAAAAAACATGTATAACTAACAGGGCCGTTTTGCACTCACTGGTGACAATGGCTTTTTTTTTTTTTTTTTTTAACCCCCTCTTCTTCATCTTGTTTTTAAAGGGCGAATTAAAAATGTACAGTGGAGCAGTATGGCCAACATTCCACCTCTGTCTTCACCCACACAAAAACCAAACTTATGCCACACTGTCAGTGCTGATTAAAATGTGCTGCCCTAACCAGGAGCAAGTTAGCTAACGTGTTATTGTTTGCAATACATAATCACTACGGACCCAACAAACATTACTGATGGCTTCTATTCGACAACAGTATTGGTACGTAGTGCAAAAAACATGTATAAATAACAGGCTCCATGTTGTCCCCAACTGGCTTCCGCTTCGCCACAAAGATGGCGACCGTTGAGGGTTACAAGTGCCCGTCATTCTACACTCAACTTTTGGACCATTTTGAGTGCGCCAGAACTATGCTGCCTTTTCCCATACTATGCAGTGTGAACGCACTTAGTGCACTTAAAATATTTCCTGTGTAGTACGGAAGTATGCAATTTGAGACACACGTCTAACTCTGGTTTAGTTAACCCTGCTCTGGAAGTTTCTTTTCACCATTTAGACTTTACAGTATCTGAGACAGACTGGAGAACTTCAGGTACGTTCAGGCCGAGTACGAAACACATTTTCACTTCACAGTCAGTGCATGACATTTCAACATATGCTTTGAGCATGTGTGAATCTGGATATCATGACTCAGCAGGAACACCAAACTTTTTGTTGTGTCTTTGCTTTGACTCAATATACAATCGTACCGCCTCTAAAATGTCTCGAGTCTGGACACACATTTAGCCTCTTGCTAACGAGTTCGGGGTGAAAAGAGCCAACATCTGTTCACTTCAATCTTAAACTGAAAATGTGCCAGAAAGTGTTTGTATGGTGGGTTAACCCTTTAAAAGTCATTTACTGTAGCTTATAGTTGTTATCATAACGCTAAATGAATACATGTCATCTGTATTAATGCATTTAGGACTAACAGATTTAACCACATTTAGCCTCCTGCATGAACCATCAAATGCTATTTATATTATTTCTGATGTCTGTTTTCTAACTCTGCTCGATCATATCCAAGCTACTGTATAATATTTCAGACAGTACAGATGCAGTACAGATGCAGGATGGGGAGTCTCTGCCACGGCTAAGTGTATATTGTAGATTTAAAAAAACAAAACTTAATATGTAACTGCTGTACGTCCTTCTGGGATGTTTGAATTTTCATGTCTGTTGTTGAATCTATTGTGTATTTCTTTGGTTATCCATTTGTATGTATGATAGTTTGGACTTTGCAGTAGTGTAAATACTCTGTACACATCACTGCACATTGTACACTTTCATATTGGGACCAATTACCACCTCTCCTGTTAGTGCTGTATTCACAATTCTTCCAGCTTTTAACACAGAGTGTTTCTGTGCATTCACACAAAGCATGTTATACAATCCTATAAATCAGCCGTCATGGTTCATATAAAGAGTTTCATCCCGACATGTTATAAATCCATGTAGAGGAATACAAATATCACAAACTTAAGTTCATCATTGAATAAAGTGCAGAGGATCAAAGTGTCAGAGTCTTTTATTTAAGACAAGTTTTCTGCTGTATCGTCTGATGTAACGCTACTGTCTAACTTACTGTAAATGAGAAAGTAGAACTTGCGGTGGTTGTAGTTGGCCTATCATATGCTTCAATTAATACTTTAAATTTAGAGTATTTGTTAGTACTATGTTGCTGCACAAGCACCGTAAAATCTTCAGTCAAAAGCTTAGTCCGTTTTACTAACCTGATGTGGCTACACAGTTTTACAAATACAGGCATGTCTCAGAGGCCTCGTCTGGTTGCCAAGTAGTTCATTTTTTATAAGTGGTTTGGATGTATAGTAATAGTTAGTATTATTCATACTGGTTCAAATAAACAATCGGATCCAATTTCCCATCTTTGCTGAGCAACAGTTTTGTGGAAAAGGAATTGAAGGCCTGTCCCAGGCGTTTCTACGGCACTTCTGTATTAGACATTTTAAAACTTGGATATTGAATATGTGAGTTTTAGGTGGAAAAAATAAGAATTTTAAGTTGTTGTCCTGCTGCTTTCGTGTCCTCCCAGAAAGATAACACAAATGGGAAGCAAAAACATGAATAAACAGAAATGTAGTAAACAAGGCAGTAAAATATTAAAACTGGAAAGCTGAATCAAAGAGTGGATCCTTTCAATTTGTGACATTCACATTAGTATCTACAAGGCTGGAACATTTTGAGGGAGGCAGGAAAATATTAAAACAGAAATGAAAATTGACTTTGGTATGACATTCTTTCCACAATCTTGCATATGGATTTTTGATGTTGAGAGAAATGCCAAATTAAAGAATGGGTCATTTTGATTTATTAAAATATTAAATTTTTCATCTACAAGCTTAGAACATTTTCAGGCAGGCAGTAAAATATTCAAAAGACGAGATTTGTAAATAGAGTTTGGTATGATATTCTTTCAAGATTAATATTTATGAATTTTTAATGTGACAAACGTGCTGTAAACAAGAGTGGATCATTTTAACTTGTTAAAACATTTACCTTTGTATCTATGAGGATGGAACACTTTGAGGCAGGCAGGAAAATATTAACACGATTGGAAATAAATTGAGTTTGGTATGACATTCTGTGGCAATTCATATGTATGTAATTTTAATGTAATAAACATGCTGAAAATACATTTTTGATATAAAGAAAAATGCCGAAGTGAAGAGTGGATCATTCTGATTTTTTTTTACCATATTTACTTATTCATCTACAAGGTAGGAACACTTTGAGAGAGGCAGGGAAACATTAAAACTGCTAGATTTGTGAATGGGGTTTGGTGTGACTCTTTGCGAGTGTTTTTCCGAGACAACAGCGCCGCTCAGTGGTACTAACCCTGCAATGCAGCCATTCCCAAACGACGGTGTCCTCAGAGGGTCAAAATAGCCGTCATTGAACTCCTGTAGGAAAAAAGGCGAAGTGTGTTTGTTGTGCTCGGAGGCGGAGGGAGGCGGCAGACTGAAGACGAGGTCGGGTAGACTCGTTTTCATTTCCATCGCTCATATATAAATGTTTCAGTCCGCTGAGTCGGTCACAGAGTATCGGACAGCACAGAGGAGCTAGCTGAGGCTAGGCTAACTAACGGAGGCTAGGCTAACTAACGGGAGTTTAAACAGACGTTATTTAGCTTACTGTTAGCATGATGCTAACATCTCAGTCCAACATGGCGGAATAACAAACTAAACTGCAGTTAAACTGAAACATTCAGCGTTTGATTTGAAGCTCAGTTAACTGGATTTAGTGGCTGAGATTTAATTAAAAGTTTAAGAGTCAGTTCTTACAGAATAGTTGACCAAGAAACATGCGAAGTGATTGGAGAAATGATCATGCTCAGTAGTTTTGTAATGTTATCAATGAGGTGTTAAACTGTCAGATTTTTAAATGGAGTTTGGTCTGACTGTCTTGAATATGATGTGTCTTGAGACATGCTGAATTGAAGAGTGGATACTTCTCTTTATCTCTTTTGTTTTGCAGTGTTATTTATGAGGTGTTAACATTTGACTAGATATTAAAATGCCAGATAATTTAAATCAGTTTGGAATGGCATTCATAAATATAATTGGACATTAGCATTGGAGTATGAAACATTTTAGGAGTGGATTCGTTGCATTCACAACCTCTTTTACAGTATTACCGACTGTGCTGTAGCTGGGTTCACTTTGCTGGGTTAAAATGTCAGATTTCTAAATGGAGTTTGGTGGGTGATGTGTGTATCATCATTTCCATGGCACTGATGTGAGACATCATAAAACATAAGACGTGTCTAATTGAATTCCTTTTTATGAACAATTTTGTAATATTTGGTGGCACACAGTGATGTTTTGGTGAAAAATAATGGTGTGATATGTTGCTGCATAACTTCTACCAGTTTTTATTACAACAATATTTAACTGTCAGATTAACTGATACTCATACAGTCTGAAATACAACATTAAAACTAACCTGTAAATAAAGATCACGTTTTGTCTTCTTGTATGAAGGAGGTGGTGATGTCACTCAGATATCTGACGCTTGGGCAGTTACCATGGAGACAGATGGCGACAGAAACAATAATGTCAGCAGTCCTGAACCTGAACAGGTGAGACACGCTGACATTAGCGCTGCTAACAGTTGACCTCTGCCTCCAGTCTTTGAGCTAAGCTAGGCTGACAGTTTCCTATTTGCTTTCAGACTTTGTGCTAAGCTAGGCTAACAGCTTCCCTCTGCTTCCAGTCTTTGCACTATGCTAGGCTAACACATTCCCTTTTGCTTCCAGTCTTTGTGAAAAGTTAGGCTCACAGCTTCCCTCTGCTTCATGTCCTTGTGCTATGCTAGGCTAAAAGTTTCCTTCTGCCTCCAGTCTTTATGCTAAGCTAGGCTAACAAATTCCCCTTTGCTTCCAGGCTTTGTGCAATGCTAGGCTAAAGGTTTCCTTCTGCTTCCAGGCTTTATGCTAAGCTAGGCTAACACATTCCCCTTTGCTTCCAGTTTTGGTGCTAAGCTAGGCTAACAGCTTTCCTTTGCTTCCAGACTTTGTGCTATGCTAGGCTAACTCTTTCCCTTTGCTTCCAGTCTTTGTGCTAAGCTAGGCTAACAGTTTCTCCAGCATAACTCCCCTTCAGACTTTGTTGCTTGTGTCTTTCTTTTTTTCTTTTTCTTTTTCTTTTTTTGTGTGAAAACAGACGTGAGAAAGTACAAGTTGTTACGTTTTTATTAAATAGTTTGGTGTTTTGGTAAATTTGATGTAATCAGACTTGAATTATTTTTATTTTTTTGTTCATAACGAGACGAAAATAAACCATCAGTTTTTCTGACACCAGTCTGCAGATCCTGGATCAGACCTGTTGTTTGGCTCCACCTCCTCCCTTGATTCACCTGAAACAGGAGCCGCACTAAACCCCGCCCCACCGTCAGCTGACCCCGACCCATCTGATCCCTTTGTTGACACCTCAGTGACATCACAGCTGCTGGCTCCGGCTGTGGCGACATGTCCCAGTCAGCTGATCATCGTGGAGCAGCGAGGAGACACGCTGCCTGCCGAGCGCATGGTGAGACTCAGATCAGCTAAGAACGGATCAGTTTGTAGATTATTTTTTCATTCAAGTGTGTTTCTGTGTGTGTCAGGTGATCGTGACGGGCCAATCAGAGGGCAGAGAGGTGTTTGTCATCCCGTCCAATCAGCTGGCGGTGATCTCCAGTAGCCCAGCAGGTACTGAAGGAGAATTCTGATTGGAGGAAGAGGACAGTGATGTCAGTCAGTGTTGTTTATTTTGTTTGTTAATGTGTGTGTAGGTCCTGTTGTAAACATCCCGGTAACCACGGTAACAGACTCCAGCAGCAGTCGACCTCCCAGAGAGCAGCCGGCAAACGGCAGGTTGGCCTCAGTATCCCATAATCCATTTCACCGTGTCACTGGTTGATTCATTCAGGCTCTCATCACTTGCAGTCAGGAAGTGATCACATGATGTCTGTCAGAGGCGTCTGCAGGCGGCGAGTGTTCGATTCTCACAGGATCAGTTTAGGTGGAATTCTCAGTAGGAGCTCCAGCCGGTGCGCTACAGAGTGCTGTTAATTTACCAGAGGCATTTTATATCTGGCCGACTTTTGGAGACTATGGCGGGGCAAATTAGACTATGGTGGGCCGCCATAGTCCCGTCAATGTATAGGAAACACTGGATGATACGTCATGTTTGTAGTCGACCAATGAAGATGAGTTTACATATCACCTTGGGTTCGTCCTTCACCTTCTCAAAATGATCCCACACTTTGGATTTCCTGCCCGACATGTTATTAACTAGCCTGTGGAATAACCGCAGGTACCAGCCCTGGAAATTAACCTGATTCCTGTCTGACTGCTGAGCGTGGACACTTCCTGTGTCTGTCCTTTCAAATTAAAGTCCCACATGATTCAGTCATATAGGTTTGGATTTATTTTGACAAGGTGCAGCTCCTAATAGAGTTTCAGATTTGTTTGTTTTTTTTGTTTTTTCTCCGAATAAGCAACCATTGAAATCTTGCCGATCAATGACCTTTCTGGTCGACTAACGTTGACTGTTAGGAGACAGCCCTAGTTTCAACAGTAGCCCAGAGCAGACAAACAAAACACTAGCTCTAGGTAGGGACATTCATGTTTTCATAGTCAGCTGCTACTATGCAACGAGCAGCATCGGAAAAACACTGAACATGAAACTGTATTCAGTGTTTTTACTGGTTTAAATCAGCTGGTCTCATTTATAAACACTGCATACGCACATTTTTTTCTGTTTTATAAATGAGAGCCCTGGTGTGTGTGTTTTGGAGAGGAAGAGACCTCTGTGGATAATTCAACTCCTGAACAGTGAACACTGAAAGAATTCCAACCAGGAGAAGTTTCAGCTGGTTGTAATCTGTGAGCCTCACTGATAGATGCCATTTAATACTGAATCCTGAATCTGACACACTGGAGCTTTATTTAAAGTTCAGGTCTTTGTATGTTTGTTTCAGCAGTCCGGATGTTTCTGCTGGTAAGAAGCCACGGCTCTCCGGCGTCCCCAGCTGGGCTCTGAGACTCCGTAACGTGCAGGTCAGTTTGTTTACTCTGTATCATGGATGTGACTAAAGCAGTTTGACTGTATTGTTTTCTGTAGTTTTTGAAGACTCTCAGTCATCCACATCATGGTAATCTCAGGCTGCTTTCAGCCCTAGAGTCGTCTCCTTTGCTCTGAATCAGGGACTCATGTTGTTCCAAAGTTGTATAATTGCCTAGAGTTGGTTTGTGTTCTCACGGCAGCATTTACAAGAGGACCAGATCAAATGCCTTGTGTGAGAAAGCTGCTCTTGATTGGTCAGAATTTCCATGTGGGAAAAATCCAGGAAGTAAAGCAAACGTTGAAGAAGAGTACACTTGCAAGATAAATGTGACACTTTCTAATGTCACAATGGAGGGACAACTACGCAGGTTGATTTTAGCGCTGCTCATCGTGGACTATATTGCTGTCATTGTTCATTTTAGTCAAACCATACAGTTTGAAAACGAGGCGCGGCTCCAACTAGAAAACAATGTTTTGATGCATTGGATGTGCTGAATGTGCATATTAAGGCAGTACAGGAGGAGGTGCACATTAATAATCCTCCAGGACTGTAACATGCTCATGTTTAACCCAAACAATGTGTCATGTGACTGCAGTTGCTTCACATCCAGGTCGGAACACCTTCTCACCACAAACCAACCGCACCAGAGTTCGTTTGTAACCGGACTGAGACCACCTCTTCAAGAAGGTCTCAGTCTGGTTGTTTTGGTGCGCACCTGAGTGTGATTGCTGTGTTCACACCTGCCCAAACGAACCGCACTGGGGGGGGAAACAAACTTTAGTGTGATTGAACTGAACCAAACAGGGCAGGTGTGAAAGCACCCTTAAGTGTTATATCGTAGGCAGCTGGACTTGCTTGAGTTTCTTGAAGATGTTTCACCTCTCATCCAAGAAGCTTCTTCAGTTCTAATGGACTGATGCGGAGTCACAGGCTTCAAACTCTGTGTGAGTGTGAACCCTAACAGAGTCGAGGGTTTAAATGCTGCGACTCCGCACCAGTCTGTTAGAACTGAAGAAACCTGTTAGATGAGAGGTGAAAAGTCTTCAGGAAACTCAAGCAAGTCAAGTTGCCTACAACATAGCATTTAGGATTGTTTTCTGTTGGACTATCCAAACTGCCCGCAAGCAACAAGATGCGATGTTGCGTGTGAGTGAGTCTATGTGTGTGTGTTGCAAAAGGGTCTGGGTCAGTACGGAGGATGTTAAGTTGCATGCAAGACTAGCGAACTAACATCACTTAGCTTTGGTGAAGCCAACTATCAAATAACCTAACTACAAACAATCACAACAGTAACTCATTGAAAACATCATATTAATACATGTAACACATACATTGATAAAGGCTAACAGTCTTGTTTAGAACTGTGGTTCCAGAATCAGTCTTTTCTGTGTCCTTGTTCCAAACGTGCAAATATGATACTCCTAGCAGAGTTCAAAGTCTAGTGCTAACTTAACTAACAGGGGAAGAACAGGGGAAGGGCACCTGCGTATGTCCTACCTCTGTGGAGGTCCAGAGGAAAGTGAGCTGTAGAGTAAAAGCATTTCCCTAAGTTGGCCTGGTGACATCACAGGTCACATGTCACTGTGAAAGTATTGCCCAATCAAGTTTGAAACCTGGGTCCATGGGCAGGCCTCACACTAAGGTGTGACAATGAGGCATCCTGTGGAGATGAGTGCCAAATGGTTGTCTTTTATTTGAAGAACAAAGGGTCTTAGCCACCATTTCAGACAGCAGGACCACAGCTGCTGGTTTGTTTACATGACGTGACAGAGTTTCATATTTAACAGATTGAGTGTGGCGAGAGAGCGTCCGATGTAACGCAATGCAGCTTGTTAGTCTGACACTCCCATTCCGTCAGGACAGGGTGTAAGTTTCCTTCGGTGTTAACAGAGATAAAAACTGATAAAATCATTCATTATTTCCATCTTAAAAAGAATCAGACTGAAATGAGTGTTTGTCCCCACAGTGTCTCAGGGGACAGGTGACAGTACCTTGTGAATCTGTTTTGACATCATGGTCTTGTGTCAGTAGAAGTTGGGAGACTCCTTCAGAGGGTTCTGCTGTTCGGAGGCGGAGCTGGAGGCCATCTTGTTGCTCCATAAGCAGCAGACTGGATGTGTCTTTGGGACTCGTCAGTCTCCGTCTGTGGACAAACCCGCAACCAGACTCATGTGGAAGTCTCAGTACGTCCCCTATGACGGCATCCCCTTCGTCAACACAGGTCAGTTTATTTTATTTGAAGGTATTTTATCAGTTTAATGACGTTTTGAGCTGAACTAACTTCAGTGTCTCAGTCTCACTGTGATAGTACAAAGTTTCACTGGACAGAAAATTTTAGATGTGAAAATTTTCTCCCTGTAAATCTTCCTGTTGTTCCAAACCGTTTAATTTACTTGGAGACGCAGCAATTTATCATCTGACCTTCGGTATCAGCCAGTATTCTCCTTGTTGACTGCCATCAGCCGATCAGCAATTAAGATAACTTCACAGAAGGCAGTGGAGGATGTTTTCTGTTGTGTCTCCTGACTGACTGATCCTGGTGACAAAAGAAAAGGTGTTTGGGACAGAGATGGAGTCCATTGTCCTGAAGGCATTCCCAGAAGAGTAAAAGCATGTATGGGACAAACAGAGACAGAATCCAATGTCCCAACGGTGTCACAGGAACAATAGAAAAGGTGTTTGATACGAACAGAGACAGTGTACGACGTCCAGATGGTATCCCTAAGACAATAGAAAGCCTGTTTTGGATGGCCAGAAATGGCGTCCAACATACCGACAGGGACGCAGGGATCATAGAAAAGGTGTTTGGGTCAAACAGACTCCTATCTTTGTTTTAACATCAGTATTTTTATGTCTGAGATTCAGATTTTTTATTGCGTAAATGTTTTATACCTGTTTAATGAGTGTTAATGGACTCTGACGTTATAATGATCATCAATAACTTTAATAATCATACGCAGACTGTGAACTCAAACTAGAAGAGATCAGTTTTTTATGTTGAAACTGTGGCAGAAGAAAAATAAAGACAGATGAAAAGAGAAAGTAAAGAAATAAGAGGTTTAGAGGGTATGTAAAAGTATTGCTCAGTGAAGTGATGATCAGTGTGTGTGTGTGTGTGTGTGTGTGTGTGTGTGTGCTTCAGGCAGCAGAGCGATTGTGATGGAGTGTCAGTTTGGACCTCGCAGGAAAGGACTGCAGCCAAACAGGAACTGTGACCTCCCTGCAGACACAGCGTCATACAGAGCTACCTGTCCTGCCAGGTACGGGTTAGGGTTAGGGTTAGACATATTGACATGTTCTTCATACGAGTATTTCTGCAGCACAGTGATGAGTTGTCGCCTGTTTCAGGATCTACATAAAGAAAGTTCGTAAGTTTCCAGACTTCAAAGTTCCAACAGAGGAGACAGCAGACAGGAGGACAGTGAGACAGGAGCAAGAGAAGGCCTTTCAGAGTCTGAAGAACCAGAACCTGGAGACAGGAGGAGTCATCAGGTACAACGACACACCTGACGCTCACACAGTCTGCGTGTTCGTAATCTGAACACACGCAGTCTGTGTGTGCTAACTGACTGATCTTCATCATGTTCACCTGTGTGTGTCTCTGTTCAGATTTTACCTGCAGCTCCCCACAGAGAGAGCTCACCTGTATCACACTGTGGACACGCCCCCCATCCCCCCACCTCCCCCTGACCTGTCCCCTCCCCCCACCCAGCCAGAGGAGGAAGAAGAAGAGGAGGCAGGAGAGCAGGTAGGAGTGCAGGAGGAGATTCCAGGACTTGTTGAAGAGGTTTGAGGGGTCCTGGAGTCCCTCTTTAATATTTAACATGTTTTGTATGGGCTTCATCCATAAAACAGTTCAATGACGTCTCATGGAAGATTTAAGGGTCCTTGACAAGATTAAAATCATTGAAGAAGCTCCATGGTTCCTTGAAAAGGTTATTGGAATCCTTGAGACGGCTTAAAAAGTACTTTAAGGGGTTCTTGATGTAAGAAATCATCAAGAAGGGTCTAGAAGTCTCAGAGGGAACTGGTTACTAGAATAAGGTCCTTGAGAACATTGTAGGAGTTCCTGTGGACGTTCTGGTTCTGGGGCTCTTTGGGAAACCTTGAAGAAGGTCTCAGCATCATTGATTCCTTAAACTTCCACCAGGAATCACTGAGGAGATTGAAGAAGTCCTTGAGGGAGCTTCAGGAGTCTTTGAAGAGGCTTTAGGAGTCCTTTAGGCAACTCCAGGAGTCTTTGAAGAGGCATAGGAGTCCTTGAGAAGACTCCAGGAGTCCTTGAAGGGGCTCCAGGGGTCCTTGAGGGAGCTCCAGGAGTCCTTGAGGGAGCACCAGGAGTCCTTAAAAGGATCCAGGGTTCCTTGAGGAGGCTCCATGAGTCCTCAGCAGTGGTGGGACAGTCTGTCCTGATGGTGGCGCTGTAGGAGACACGATGGAGTCATTGACATGTAAAAGGTTGATGGTGTTGATCTGATTATTGATGATTGGTATTGATTGATTACTGATTGTATGGATCATATTGATCGTGATGTCAGGCTGTCATCACTGTTAGTATGTCTTTGTTAGCATCATGCTAACAGCGTTGTGTCCCCGTCAGGACGGAGCCGCCCCGTCTCGTCTCCACCCTCGGGTGGCGGAGAGGATCAGACAGCTGGTGGCTGCAGGTCATCATCAGGTCTACAACATCCGCAAACAGCTCAGGTAGGATCACACCTGTGACCCCGCCCCTCCACACACACCTGTTACATGTGTGTTACATGTTGTGTGTGTGTGTGTGTGTGTGTGTGTGTGTGTGTGTGTGCTCAGGCGTTTTGTGGAGAAGGAGCTGTTTAAATGTGACGGTCTTCCAGAGAGACACAACCTCAGATTCTTCCCCACCGTCAACGACATCAAGAACCACATTCACGAGTCCCAGAAGGCCCTGGGGCTGACGGCTGCCACCGCTGCAGAGGTCCAACACACACACACACACACACACACACACACACACACACACACAATACTCAAGTACATGTACCTCTAAATTGTACTTCAGGTACAAACTCAGTAACTTTCCAGGCTGTGTCTGTGGTCTGAAGTGAGTGTGTCTCCCTCTAGTGGACAGAAGACAGTACTGACCCTCTGATGGAGACCGTCACTCTGACACTGACTCCTGCTGCTGAAGGTAACACACACACACACACACACACACACACACACACACACATTTCATTTCTCTGAATTCAGATTAAAAACAGAAACATTATTATAAATGGAAACAGTTCTTGATGATGTTCCAGCAGTCCTTGATGGGGCCCTAGGAGGCCTTGAGAAGTAAACACTAAAATAAAACAATAGAGACTCTATTAAAGTAAATGAAGATATTGAGAACAGAGATATGAACACATGACTGGAGGGTAAGAGGGTTCATGGTGAGTACTGAGCCACACAGACTGACGCTTGTACTGAAGGACGTCAGCCATGTTGCCTTTAGGACAGTAACTGTGAATAGGTCATGTCCTCTAGCCGTGTCTCTTTGTCTCCAGGTGTGGACGGCACTGAGTCTTTGTCTCCTGAAGCTGTGCAGCTCTTTAGCTCTCTGTCGTCTCTGCAGCCGAGGATCTTCGCTCAGCTGCAGGTCAGATAATAATCAATCACTTCACAGTCACGTTCACTGAAGCTGAATGAACGTGTGAATGTTGTTTTTACTGACAGGGAATCCTGCAGCCGCTCCCCCCTCCTCCCCCTCTCCCTCTGTCCCCCTCCCTGCTGCCGGTCGTCAGCCCCTCCTCCTTCCTCCAGCCTGCTGTAGGAGAGTCAGAGGAGGAGCTCCATGAGGGGCAGCAGCTCTGTGGAGGAGCCCAGCAGGAGGTGCAACTGCAGATCATCAACTCTCCTGACACCACTGAGGATGGTAATCATACACACTAAGCCCCACCCCCCTTTAGTTACTGACTTTTTTTAAACACAAAATACTGTAGTAAGCTAACGATAAGCTAACTGTTAGCCTTGGCAGTAGCACGAGCATACATGCTAACATTAGCAGCTGACATCAGAGCAGATAAATAATGTTTAACCCTTAAACCTTTGTGTTTTTGGTTTGTGTATCATTCTCAGCTCTGATTGGTGGAAACGTGCTTCAGGTGGAGGTTAAGGAAGAAGAGGAGGAGATGAAGATGAAGGAGATGGAGGACTTTACTGGTTCTTGTTGAACCCTCAGCACTTATCCAGTAACTCAGTATGTGACACCAGTTTTAACACCAGTTATTCACATTACTTCAACGTTCCCTCTGAGCCACTGACAGACTTTTACTGTGAAACATCTGAGCTGAGAACCGGAGTTTTATCGATGGGACCTAACAACAATGGAAAAAACAGTGAAGGTGACTGATTTTGGAAATGATCAGTGAACGGAAACAGGACGTTCCCAGGAGGTTCTGGGTAAACTGCAGAAGGTGAATAAGAGCAGTGTGCTTGGCCCACATGGGGTCACACGGGACGACCTCCTGATGTGGGACATGAAAGGTGGAAAGTTGGCGGACCTGTTAAACTGTCTTATGTTGTTGAAAACTTCTGGAATGCTTGAAACATGTGCAACATGAATCAGAGGCATCTAGAACATCATGAGGACGTTCTCAAGACCGTCGACCTGGAGACAGACTGAGGTTACTCTGTTACAAATGAAGGGTTGGTTCTCTGTGGAGGTCAATAACCACCATTAATGTCTGTTTCTATGGTCTAATGATTTCCCAGAGTCTACAGTAACTCTCTGTAGTGTGTGACATCATGTAAATGCAAAATTATAGACCCTTCTGGTGTGGATATCACAATGACATCATTTTATTATCTGGAGGTGCAGCTGCCTCTCCCCCACAGGGCTGTAGGCTACACAGGAGTCTTAAAATGTGTTTGTCTTGTTGTGTTATTGGGAGCCAGAATAGAAGGAGTCATGGCTCAAAACCAGCCGCCACTGCCCGTCAACAAAAACAAAGACAACTATGGTTAAATGTGATAAGACCAAAGGACTGGACGGAGGCCATCATCAAAAATGCTCACATGTGCAGCGCACACTTCATATCAGGTTAGGGAAAAAGTATTTCCTGTTGTAGGGATGAATAATGTTATGTGTATTAAGGGTTATCATGTCCACCTCATCAGAAACTGGGGAGGGATTAAGAGGAATATTGGATTTCTCTGGAACACTAACTTTTTAGCACATTAGCTAACGTTAGCTTCGATAGCAAAACAAACAAGTGTGGTCCTCCTTTGTAAGATTGGCTTCCTGTGACATCATCCATCCACTGAGTGAGAGCATACGGGTCGGCCAGTCTGGTCCCGTTGGTCAGTGTTTACTTATTCAAGTAACACTGGCGGTCCCGGAGAGTGAGTGACCTGACATGGTGTGTTGGTAAATTCAGTCTGACGCTCTACACTAAAATGAGAGCCCTGTTGGTTGAAGAAACGGAGCATAATATGTCTACACAAATTAACAGTTAAGTTAATCACACATTCACTGCGCTCGGCGCTCTGCTGCTCTGAGAGTGCGGTGCTCTGGATAACTGAACGATACATTCTGACAGCGCTCCGAATTTACAAACGGTCCAGTGTGTGCGCTCCGGCACTCAGAATGGGTATTTCTGAACGCACCATTCTCATCATCTTCCTCCATTGTCTAAAACAAGACAACAGAACTTGCTAGCTAATGTCTGTGGAGAATTGTTTTGCCTCCACCAAAATACATCATACTGTTTACTAACAGTAAAAGGGTCTGTTGATATCAGCTGATGTGACGTGTAGGTTTGCAACGATGTACCGTTTTTAAGGTATACTGTGATGGTTATACCGTGTGCATTTGCTTATCTGCGATTTTTTTTAAAAACTGCAACTGGACAAAATCTTAACTTTATTTTAGTTATTTTCAAAAGGGAAGATTTTTGACGTAAACTTAAATTGAAAAAATGGTTTCAAGTTTCAGTTATAGTAATAAAACATTTGCTTAACCAAAAATAACCTTTCCGTTTTAACTCCTTTAACGATCATTCTGACTGATGATAATGATAATTACGTAATAATGTGATACCATGAAATCGTGTTATTTTCTGAGACGGTTATCGTACCTTGGAAATGTCATACCATTGCAGCCCCAGTGATGAGTGGTTGTAGACTTTAAACTTGCAAATGTGAATTTTGTTGATGTAAATAATATCCTGTTTATTTCTGTACAGTTTAAATATTTGCACTTTAAGATGGAAAATGTTCTCAATAGATTATTTAATGAGCTTTTATTGTGTTTGTTTTTCTTCTTAGGAGCTTGAAAACTACGTGTGAGTGTCATTAAAACAACATGCTATACTATGACTTTTTTTTCATGGTTTTGGACGACATGCTATACTATGACTTTTTTTCATTATTTTGGACGACATACTATACTATGACTTTTTTTCATGATTTCGGACAACATACTATACTATGACTTTTTTTCGTGGTTTTGGACGACATGCTATACTATGACTTTTTTTCATTATTTTGGACGACATACTATACTATGATGTTTTTTCATGATTTTTGACAACATACTATACTATGACTTTTTTTCATAATTTCAGACAACATACTATACTATTACTTTTTTTCATGGTTTTGGACGACATGCTATACTATGACTTTTTTTCATTATTTTGGAAGACATACTATACTATGACTTTTTTTCATTTTTTTTGATGACATATTATACTATGATGTTTTTTCATGATTTTTGACAACATACTATACTATGACTTTTTTCATTATTTTGGACGACATACTATACTATGATGTTTTTTTCATTTTTGACAACATACTATACTATGACGTTTTTTTCATTTTTGACAACATACTATACTATGACGTTTTTTCGTTTTTGACAACATGCTATACTATGACGTTTTTTCATGATTTTTGACAACATACTATACTATGACTTTTTTTCATTATTTTGGACGACATACTATACTATGACTTTTTTTCATTATTTTGGAAGACATACTATACTATGAC